TTAATCTCGAAAAAATTGTTATAAAGAACGAATTAAAAACAGTTAAAATACAACTAACATGGCGTGGCAATTGGTAAAAGAGATTAAGGTAATTTACAAAAATCAAGGTAATTTCTGTATAAAGGGTGACCCTCAGGTACTTTCTAACAAAATAAATCAATTTATGGCAAATGCAGCGCCAACAGCTGTAAAGAAAATAAAGCATGTAAAAAATTCAAATTAATATCGAATAAACTAATCATTGCATGTTTTTAACTCCCGTTTCAGAGAAAGAAATAAGTCACATAATAAATAGCTTAAAAACAAGCATTGCTCTGGTTATGGTGAAATATCAACCAACTTAATTAAATATGTTTCATCAGAGATTTCTCTTCCTCTTTCTTTTATAATTAATGCTTTTTTGAGGAAAGGTAAATTTCCTCAAAGTTTAAAACTGGCAATTGCCAAGCCACTACATAAAAAAGGTGATGTTACTAAGATGTAGAACTATAGACCAATAAGCCTTCTTCCATCATTCTCAAAAATATTCGAAAAAGCAAAATATATTTCAGACTACAAAACTTTTTTACTACAAACAACTTATTTAGTAGTTCACAGCATGGTTTTCTTGCAGGGAGATATGTTGAGACAGCTACCTATGATTTTATATCAAAAATTTTAGAAAAACTGGAGGCAAAAATGAAAACACTCGGTACTTTTTTGGTTTTTGGACCTATCTAAGGCTTTCGATGGTCTAGATTATGCTCCTTTATTAAAAAACTTTCATCTTTATGGAATATCGCGACCTGGCATTAAAATGGATAAAATCTTCTCACAGATAGGTCGCAAAAGGTATGCCTGGAGAAAAGTGGATATAAGGTTTACTCTGAACCGATCAATTTAAAATTAGGTAAACCACAGGGGAGTGTCCTGAGGACTTTTCTCTTTTTGGTCTACATAAACGACCTTCCATATGTGTTGGTTAGTATTTCCTCAAACCTTGTAAATTTTGATGACTCAAATGTGCTTTTCTGTAGAAAAACTTTAGAAACACTCCTCACCGTGGCAGAGCAAATTCTAAGTAAGGCTGAACAGTGGTTCAGTGGAAATCGGTTGTTGCTTAATGCTGATAAGACAGTTTTTGTCTGTTTTAGAACCAGTCAGTCACGAGAACAGTTTCCAGATACAATTAATTTTCTATCACAAAACACGGAACCTGCTAGATCAGTTAAATTTCTTGGTATTCATATTGACCAGAATCTGAATTGGGGGAACAAATACAAAATAAACAAAAAAACTGAATAGAGTCGGCTACTTATTAAGGGTATTAAAGAGCTATCTAGACCAGGGGATTTTACTATCAGTATATTATGCGATATGGAGTAATCTTTTGGGGTGTTGCAGTAGATAGCTCAACTGTCTTTATAGTTCAAAAAAGGCAGTCCGGGTGATCTTAGGACTAAAGGCAGGAGAATCCTGTAGAGGCCGATTCAAATCACTCAATAATCTCACTTTCTCAGTCATCTATGTATTTGAATGTATTATGTTCCTTTTTAAAAAAATTTCTTTGTTTTATCACCTGCTTCCCAATCATGAATATAATACAAGAAGCCTTAATTTGAATTTGCTACTTCACAGATTGTCTATAACAGAGAGAAGTCCTTTGTATGTCTGTGTTAAATTTTATAATAGTCTACCATCTGACATTCAACAGGAAACACACTCTAGAGCTTTTAAAAGAAAGGTTTTTCAACACCTAGTTGACATTGAGCCGTATACTGTAGCGGAGTGCTTAACCTATCGTTCTCCTTGATCAGCATATTCAATTTGTAATGTTAATATATTTTAAATGTGTGATGTCAATATATATTTTTTTAATGTGTAATTAATAATGTGACGGTATTTGCTCATGTTTAAAAATTTATACAAATAAAAATTTACTCTACTCTACTCTGTTTATGAAGTTATCCGATTTTAATTTAGAAAATATAATATTAAAATTCAAAACTAATTTTTTAACTTGTATATCTTCGATTTTCATTGGAGAAAAATGTGAAGAAAAAAAGTGAAGAGTGTAAAAAAACGGTTCCGAACATTACTCTGAACACGCGATCATCCTTTTGGAGCGGGTTACTGGGGGGATTGAAGCAAGCATATAGGCTATTTCCGATTTTCTACACTTCTCGTTCTTACTCCTGTGCTCTAGAAGCAGGATCGCGCTTTCAGAGCAATGTTCGGAGCTGGTTTTTTTACATTTCCCTCTATACTTAATGAAAATCGAAGATATACAAGTTTGAGAGTAAATTTTGAGTTTGAGAAAATGTTTTCTAAGTTAAAGTCGGATAACCTCACTTAATATGCTGATCCATTCAAAATATCGATTTAAAATATAAAATTAAGATTTTGAAAACACTATTCGTTGTACAGCGTCCACCTTGTGCCTGTTTAAACAACATATTATAAAGAATCATTATTCAGAGAATCAGTTTTCGAATTTTAAAAGTTCCATAGTTATGGCGTTTTCAAAAAATGGTAAAATTTATCGTTTTTTCGGCTTTTCTCTGCAAATTAAAAAAAACTGTTTATTTTTTGATTCTCTATAAAAGTCCTATTGACAATATTGTGATTGAATTAGTATTACATAACAAACACATAAAAATAAAATTACATAAAATTAATAATAGGATTTGACAAAATAACAGAATAATTGGATTTTATATCAAACATTTTACGTTTTTTATTAAATTAAAGTCATAATCAAAACATTTTATTTACAAACCAAATTAAGAAATAGTTAAACTAAATAACATTAAACTGTTTGTCAAAGTAAGTGTTCGATATGTCCACCATTTTCTTTAATCCATTTGTCAATACATTACATACAAGATAATCTCATATTAAAAGAAACTGTGTCTAAAGTGTTATAAGTATAATAATAAGTATTTTTTGGAATTTTTTATGAAATAAATAATTATATTAATATCTCACCACATGACCAGGGAATATGACTACCACGAAAAATCAAACGTTTAGGAAAGTTGTTTTTAAATACTGTTCTCACTCCCCTTTCTTTGTAATGTAATGGTGAACCATCTTGTATAAACCACATATTTCGCCTTAAGTTTGATGACAATTTTTCCAATAAATCAATAAAATCATTTTATAAAAAATGTAAATAAATCTCATGATTCAAATTACAAAGTAATTCAAATAATCCGTAAAATTTTAAATTTCCACTCTAACACCCTTTATGTTTCTTAATATCAATATTTTATTAAAGCAATTTGGCTTAAATCGTAATATTTTAAAGTGTAGAATCTGAGGTTTCTTTTTGTACAATTACTTAAGGACCACCCTGTATAATTCGGGAAAAACTAATTCGTTTGCTATTTTTTGTTTTTTTATGGTCTACGAGCCTACTGAAAGGCTTTATTTACTATCAAAAGATACTAAACGTGGTTGGCTATGAAATTTTAAAAGCCAAAAAATCTACAGTTTGGTCTATTATGTGTTATGTATATATTGATGATGTGTCTCTGACCTTCTTGCTGGTTTCTTCTTTTAATATTGGCAACCAGAGTCTGCTACATTCTACTGATGGGTTTACTACGGATTTCCTTTAATAAGTAAGATGAGAGCTACTTCTTTGATTTTTCTTCTTTTCATGTCTGTTTCTTTTATACCGTTGATGCATCTTTCCATTGTACTTGTGCTCATAGTCCCCAGCATTTTTAGAAAATAGAATGAATATTACCATATATCAGAGTGAACTGTTATCAGTGGTACACTCTTATCATCCAGTCCCATTTTCACATCCACTGTTGGATATAGGCCTCCTCCAAACGTCTCCAGTTCTCTCTATCTCTAGTATATCTATCTCTATCTCCAATAATCTCTTCGTCCATCTCCTCATTTCTCATGCGATCTTTCAAGGTCAGACCCAGCATCGATCTCTCCATTCGCCTTTCTGTTACCCTCAGTTTTTCGGCAGTAACTTTCGTTAAAGTTAATGTCTCTGCTCCGTAGGTCAAGACTGGTAAGATGCATTGGTTAAATGCCTTCCTTTTTAGGTGAATTGGGATATTTGTTTTAAAAATGTCTCTCATCCTTCCATATGCCGCCCATCCCAACGTGATTCGTCTATTTAGCTCGCAGGTTTGGTTGTCTCTGGTTATTCTAATTTCATGACCCAAGTATGTGTATTTATCGATTAATTCTACCTTGTTGTAATTGATCTGTATCTCTTCGCTGGGAACCATATTGGTCATTTTGGTTTTCTCGAAATTTTTCTCCAGACCAGTTTCTTGTAGTATATCATTTAGTTCTTGGAGCATGTCTTTGATCTCTCCCAGATTATCTGACAGAAGCACGATATCGTCCGCAAAACGTAGATGGTTTAATCTTTCTCCATCAATGGATATTCCTTTCCGTTGCCATGTTAGTCTTTTAAATGCATACTCAAGAACGGTAATGAACAGCTTTGGTGACATGGTATCACCTTGCCTGACTCTCCTTTTTATCTTTATTTTATTAGTTGCAGAATGTAGACTTATGGTTGTTGTGGTATTTTCATATATATTTTTAACTGTATTACAATATCTGTGGTCGACCCTGCAATCTTGTAGTGTTCTTAAGATGGACGGTAGTTCCACTTTATCAAACGCCTTTTTAAAGTCTACAAACATCAATGCCAAGGGACGGTTATATTCGTTAGTTTTTTCTATCAGGGTTTTTAGGCACTGCAGGTGATCGTTTGTGCCGTAATTAGGGCGGAAACCGGCGTACACTCTACACTCTGTATAATACAACTAATGTTTTAATACTAGAAGTCTAGAAGGACCTTCAGTTTTAGATTTAACAAAAACACAGCTGAACTTTACAAGATTAGGTTATCACAAAATTTTCATCAAAGTGATCACATATAAAAATAGAAATAACACATTACAAAACTTGTCATGGTAAAAAAATGAAGATCAATCAAAATAATTGTTATAAATTAATCATGTTCTATTAAATTTTAGTTACTGCTGTCAAAAAATGCATTGTGGCCAATGATGGACGGTGGACTTCTCCACAACCCTCCAAAGGAAGTGACAAATAGACATTGGAAGCTGTTCGATGCCATCGAAGCGTGCGTTCATTCACCAGATGAAATTAATAGATTTGACTTAAGCAGACAGATTTTGAATAAACTTCATGCCATTCTTCGATATGCAAGGGCAAATAAGTTATTTTAAATATTGTTTTAAATTATTGTCGCACTAAATCAAATCTTCACATCAAACATTTTTGGGATTGTTTTCTGAAATGAGTTATTCTACGCAATTTGTTTTACAAACAATGAAGTTTATTCTTTTCCTTTATATACCCATTGTAAAAATCGATCAATATTCGAATTCTGCGCTGTAATTTTTTTAATATTTGTACAAACTTACCTCACAGGCGGGGTAAGTTGGTACAACTATAGGGGCACAATGGTACAGTATTGGAACTCTCTATAAGAAATGCTCTATTTGGATTTATAATAGGTTCCTACTAGTAATAAGTCGTTCCCGACCGATCCTAAGGTTACATTAACCCGTATTCAGTTATTGAAAGTATTACGAACCGGGAGTCTTCATCAAAATTTTAAAGTACTCAACTATTTTTAGGTGCGAACAAGTTTTATACCTAAATTTTTAATTTACATTAGTCATCTTACTTTTTCTGCGTCGCGTTACCGTTTTTACCCAGTTAAATATCGGTTAGTTACAGTAAGTGTACGATCGACTAATAACCTCCCTATGTGTATTTGTTTGTTGACAGTTAAGTTAGTTCGCTGGATAAAGATTCAACTAACTTAAGGCCAAGAATGTTAATCTATAATCTGGACTGTAAACTTGTATTTTCCATGACTAGTTTCTACACATATCAAGATACAAATAAGATATTTTCTAAATAAAACTTAGAGTTAGATTAAATGAAAATATTAATGATGGATAAATTATTGCTGTACCTGAAGGGGTAGTGTAAAAGAAATGTACTTAATAATTTACTGACATCTGGAACCTGTGGAAAACAAATAGTTTTTTGTTTTTGTCTCAAACAATTAATTGTTTAACAAAGTCTCCAAGGCTAATATTCGTCCTTCCTATTATCGGATCAATTTTTTCTTCTAAACTTTCAAGGATTTTTTCATCTGATTCATATCTTCAAACTCACTGATAGGACTGTGTCAACAAAAGATATTTTGTTTCATTGTCTTAAACAAATCCTCCATTTTGTTTTAGATTTCAGTATATCTTTTGACTACCTTCACCTTATTTATTTGACTATATTTACTTATCTGTTACATTGAGTTTTTTTTCGGAAGTTCTGTTAATAGTCGTAATCCATCTCTTTGTGAAAAAAAAAAACAAAAATGATGATCGTAGACATAGCAAATAATAATCTACCGCACATACACCAAGTAGCGAATTTCGAAGTGGTAGACAAATTTGTGTACCTGAGCTCCCTGATAACCAACAAAGGCGATTGCTCCTCAAAAATCAAGCGTATATTAGCAACGGCTCGAACCGCAACAGCTAAATTAATTAAAATAGGTCAATGCCGAACAATAACGAGGAGTACTAAGCTCAGGTTGATCAATGTCCTTATTTTTTCCATTGCTACATACGCAGCTGAAAAATGGACTTTGAAAAAAATCGATAGGAATAAGATGGAAGCCTTCAAAATGTGGATTTATAGAAGAATTTTACGCGAGTCCTGGACAAAACAACCTGTCAATTTTGGAAAAGGTTCATATAAAAGACAGGCTATTAAAAAAGTAAATATATCTAAATTATTTCGGTCACATAGCTAGAAGAACGAGGGTCATTTAATATCGGTAGTAGAAGGCCAAAGACCAAGAGGAAGATCTCCAACACAATGGGCAGACCAAATGAAGACTATGGTGTTAAAATCCCTACATAAAGCCGTTGGAGACAGCAATATAAGCTAATAATATTTAGAATGTCACTACGCCCTGACAAGTCCTCAAGAAATGAGGAGAGGATCTCTTTGTGATATGTTTAGTAATTTCCTCACATATTTTAGATGTGGCCTCACACTCTGAAGTAAAATGTTCATTAGCTACTTGGATATTCCTTAATATTTCATATCCATGATCTGTTTGCTAACTGGCTTTGAATACCCAAAGGTACTGACACTTGATTCTAGCTTTTTTGATGTTGCAATTCTGATAGCGGTTAAGGGTTACATTTCTCGAAAACGTATTTTCGCTTTTATCTCTCTTCTGAGTCTAATTATACCGTATGGCATGCGAATTGTATTTCCAACAAAAATATTTTATTTCAATTAATTCCCTTGGAAACTTTTGTAAAAAAATGTCTAAAATTAGCTTTAGAATTTGGTTAACGTAAATTGTCCGACATTCCAGATAACAAATTTTTTCTCAAAGTTTTGTATACCATATTTTATTTATATACAACCAAATGTTTTGATCTATTTCATTTGGGTTGTGAGAATTTCATCGAGATCGGGTGATTATTAAGAAATATGTATTGGAATTACGTTTTCACTGTGTATGGCAGCACCTTAAGTATAACATAGGACCGAAGAAAACTTTTTTCGTTAAACACAGAGCGACATAATGGGTATATTCGTATTTTTTTTTTAAAGCTGAGACAATATGTTTCAAAGTAAATAGGGCATCATAAGTATTACTTGTTAAACCTGCTATGTCATAAATTGTAATTTTTCGTCCAGGATTTGATAGCCTTCATTCGTTAAAAGTGGCCTTTAAAAACTTAATAACTAATGGCTGCAGTGTGGTAGAAAAAGCAAATGAATTTCATTTTCTAGAATTAGTGAATAAAATTCGTAATTTTCCAATATGCAAAAGAGAATATTAATTAAACACTTCGTGCGCTTGTTTACGAGTATATATTTATATATTCCCACCAACGACTGTCCTGTTATACAGCCAGATTGGCCCCCAGCTATTAGATGCTGCGACGTTCAGAAAAATATCCACAAACATTTTGCATTAAAAACATATCATAACTACAGTGACTGTATTCCCTTGGGAGTCAATGACACCAAAAGAAGGTATTTATTTACCTCTTTCCGAACTCCGCGATAGTTAGTTCTCGTCGGCAAAAAAATTATGATAGATACTCTCTTCAAACTGCTCTTCTGCGACATCTTTTGGTTTTGAAGCGTTTTTCCTCTAATTTTCCCGAAAATTTTCACCCGTCATACAGGAAAATCGGAAAACAAGTTCCGTCAGACAATATATTGCTTTAATTAAATATGCAACATAAAAATTATCAGAAAAACACGAAAAAACTACTGTGGCGAAATTTGTAGATAACCAGCTTGTAACGAAATATTTTGCCTACCACATAGGTTATTACTATGAGGGATTGAAAATTGGGAACAGAAGTTACTGGAGGTGAAGATATGGCAAGCAAAATAAATAAAAACTTATGCGAAAGGCGCTCAATGTTTATTTGCAGAGCTGGGGTTGTGGATAAGTGAATGGCAAGGGGGTTGAATTGGGGCAACTACAGAAACTTAAACAAAGGGCTACTTACATGAATCTCCTGGACAAATGGACAACAAAACAACAAGAAGGAGCTCTAGCTATTTAAAATGGACGCCGCTTCGAGGAAACTTCCTGCTGGATGAAAGAAAAAGGCTCTTTTCTAAAAAACACAAGAAAAAGGGTTAGAAACTTTTTAGTAAATAAATAGGCAAAATGGTTTAGAGAAATAAATTAAACATTTATTGTTATCTCACCACAAACAGTTACAAATGTAGTTGGTAATACAAAAATAATATATTAATAGACACACAAAAATAAATACAATAATAAAGAGAAAAACTTATAATGTCCTATCCGTTTACAAACTCTTAGAAGTTGGAGATACGACAATACTTTCAAATGGTACTGAGCTATAATTTGTGGCAGAAATAAATTATTACAAATATAGAAATATCTTTTTAAATGAAACTATGTAGAGAGGGTATAATTTTAATTATTACAATTTTTTACAAACTCTTATGAAAGCAATTATTAATAAAAATTTTTATTTTTCCTTTAAAATTTAAACACAAAATTTACCTGGATTACACTAAAATTTCTTTACTTTAAATTTTTTGAAACTGGACTTTGCAATTTCTGGGAGAACTGGAGTTAGATTCACCGTCACACGAACAAGTACATCTCTAAACTGCGATAGGACAAGATAAAATTGAGATTGAAAGTTGGGGCACTGGAACACAAACTTTAGAAATTCGGCTTCCTAAAAAACAGGAAAGTGGAACATGTGGATATCTTTCAAATTTGTTGTAGGCGACACAAATCTCTTAGAAACATGGAAACAGTTATTACTCTGATCTGAAGTGACACATTACATAGATTATAATTCACTATTTTCAACAAATTTGCCGGTTTTTCTCCGACTAACTAAATACGTCTGCTTCAATCGCCCCTCTTTTCAAACCTAACTTTCGCCCTTGGATCGATCTGTGTCTTCCTATGCCACATCTTTTCCCTTTCCAACCCCGAGTACCACCACTCTTCGCAACCGAATTCTTGTTAAACAACTTCAAACTATATCGCAAAACAACCTTGAATCACTTTCAGTTTTCAAAATTGTAGAAGTAACACGTACAAATAAATAAAACCATATTTTCGTCGTAGTTAATAACTAGAATTTGGAATTCTTTTAGAATAAACAGAGAAACGGAGATATTTATACTAGGGCCAGGGACGTACTTGAAAAATTTTATACTTGAATATCCGATAGTTTTTAAGGAATTTTCTGCATGCTACAAGCTAAATTTGTCAGGATACTTTCAATAATAGCAGCTAGAACAACTTTTCATATTGTCTGACGCAGTGGCGGATCTAAACATTTGCTCCGGGATTGGGTTTGGTGAAACTTCCAATGAAACACCGACCGTAAAAAAGATAAACCCATATTACAAAAAAATCATAAATTTTGGACCTTCTTGGGACGGGAAGGGGAATTCCCCCCCCCCCTGTATCTGACGGAACTTGTTTTCCGGTCTTCCTGTCTGACGAGTGATAACTATAATGGTACTACTTTACACATACCAAGTGGCCAATTCTTTACTGTACCATTGTGTTCCACAACACAATTTATAGTAAAAATATCTATATCAACTAATACAAAACTAACAAGGAAGGAGCTTATCTTATATACAAAATAAAATCCATGTTTTATCTCAGCCCAACAAAACAAATAGAAAATAAT